ATTTCAGCCTCTGTTTCGTGAAGGAAAGATATGGATGTTAGGTGTTATGACTCATAAGGTAGAGAAGAAGAGTCGGCGGTCGAAAGAAAAAAAAAAAGTTCAGACGAGGTAGCTGTGACCACCGCCAGAAGAAGAAGAAAAAAAGAAAAGTTCAGAGGAGGGAGATAGATGTGAGCGGCGCAAGAAGAGGAGGAAGAAATTAGGGTTTTGTTATAAGTTTGTGGTATTTACTGTTTAGTCCCTAAAATTCTGAATATTCAATATTTGGACTATCCATTTACTAAAGTGGGCTGCCTTGCTAAAGTGGGCTTTTTAAAGCCTAACTAGAAACAATATAGTAAATTAGTAATGAAGAAATATTAATAAATTTCGGAAAAATTCGGCAAATTTCGGAAATATTATCGAAAATTTCGGAATTATTTTCGGATCGGAATTCGGAAATTCCGAATAATTCATATACAATTCCGATTCCAATCCGATTTTTTCGGAAAAAATCGGAAATCGTAATTTCGGAATTCGGACTACAAAAATTCGTTCCAAAATCGAAAAAAATCGGATCGGATTCGGCGAAAATCGGAAATTTAGTTCCGATTTCCACCCCTAGCTCTTAATGAGCTCTTAATGCTCCTAATATCTGATTCGGTCAGAGATAAGTAATTAAGAGTGTTTGATATACAACTCTGGCCGGATTCATCTCCCGCTTATTGATTCAGTCAAAACATTAGGACTTAATGGTTCAGATATCAACCGAATGAAAATTAGACAAAATTATCCCCATAAATTTCGTGCCTCTTGATTCGAGGAAGCAATTGTAATTGATGAGTTTTTGTGTTCAGCTAGTTACATTTAAATACACAAATAAGTATGCGATGAAGAGAGATAAAGTGGCGGTGGAGAATTTTTACTTTTTAGGTGCAGATGTTTCAATTTTTATTGTGAAATTTAATTTATTTCCCTTTCTTCATCTTTTATGGATTATGAGGTTTTAATGAAAATTGTAAATTATATTGAAATTTTACTTTCGTATTTTTCAATTATAGGATTTAGATTTACAATTATTATTTTTATCAAAATAAATATATATAATATTACAAGGGTGATAATAATTATATTTTATTTTAGATATTAGTGATGATTCTATTAGTGAATAAGTATATGTTCAATAATTACGAGGGACAATATAGTAAAATTACATGTTATTCGGTGACTATAAATTTTCGCTTGTCAAACAAACTTAATTATTCAGTATTCAGATTCAAACACTAATCTTAACCATTCAGTCATATATTCAGCATTCAATGTTCAGTGTTTAATTTTGTCAAACATAGCCTTAATGTTTATGGCTGGAGTAAAAACTTTTAATAAGTATCAAAATAATATAAGGAACAAATGAGCATTTGATGTTCAATTTTGATACTTATCTATTAGAATTGCTCTAATTAATAGAATCATCGTATTAACTTGATTATTCGTAGATGACTGATGATTTGGGCCTTGTAGAGTAGTCCAATTTAAAGAAAAATTACTCGGCCTATTGTGTTGGCCAAATTACTCAGCCCATTATCTATATTATATTACAGATTGGCGCTCATGTTAGATGGTAGTTTTATTTAAAGGGGTAACGGCAAATAGGCCCATGACAAGAGCACTTAATTAAAAGAGGGACATCCAACTTTTTTGCTTTTCAAATAAAAACAGTCCATTCAAACTTATTTGCAAATAAGGAAAATCCTTTTATATATACCAAAATTACCACAAATTCATTGAAACCCAATTTAACTCCAATTTCATGATTTACACCCCAATTTAGCCCAATTTCATCAATTAACCAATTTAAACCCTAATTTCAATTTTGACCCGCCACCACCGGAGACCGCCGGTCTCCGGCGTTGATTTTTGTTTTTTTTTTAATTTTTTTTTCCTGAAATTTTTTTTCCGACCGGTCAACTGCCGTTGACCGCCGGGTCTCCGGCGTTCACTTTTTTTTTATATATATAATTTTTTTTTTCTTAAAAAAAATATTTTAATTAATATTACAGTCTTGGCTGCTAAATTACTGTCTCCGGCAGTTATTTAACTGTCGGAGACAGTAATTTAACTGTTAATTGACTCTCTTTTTTTTCTTCAAAAATATTTTAATTAGTATTACTGTAGTCGTTGCTAAATTACCGTCTCCAACAGTTATTTAACTGTCGGGGACAGTAATTTAACTGTTAATTGATTTTTTATTCTTAAAAAAAGAATTTTAATTTGTATTATTGTATTCGTTGCTAAATTACTGTCTTCGTGAGTTATTTAACTGTCGGTGACAGTAATTTAACTGTTAATTGACTTTTTTTTTTCCTTAAAAAAATTATTTTAATTAATATTACTGCCTTGGATGTTAAATTACTGTCTCCAACAGTAATTTAACTGTCTTAGACAATAATATTAATAATATTACTGTTCGGAAAAATAATATTCATAATATTACTGTCCCAAGCAGTAATATTACTGTTTGAGACAGTAATTTAGTAGCCAAGACAGTAATATTAATTAAAATATTTTTTTTCTAAGCAAAATAATTCAAAAAAAAAAAAGTCAACGCCGGAGACCGGCGGTCAATGATGGTTGACCAGCCGGAAAAAAATTTCAGGAAAAAAAAAATTCAAAAAATAAAAAACAAAAAAGAAAGAAAAAAAAGTCAACGCCGGAGACCGACGGTCTCCATCGCTCAACGCCGGATCTGGCCGGAAAAAAAACATTTCAGAAAAAAAATTATGTTCTGGAAAAAAAA